TTCCAAAAGCACATGTAGTGAGAAGAAGATGGAATCAGGCAGGCTGGGGCGGACACGACACAGCTGGTCAGGTGGGTTTAGGTCCTGCCTGACCTCACCGTCTCCCATTCTTACTGTTTTATAAATTTCGTTTTCACCCTAAAGATGCCTATCTTGAGTGGTTTAGGTGGATTGATGTAGGAGATTAATTTTGAACTGGAATGTTGTAATAAGTCACTGAGTTATGCTGATCATTATTTGGAATAAGGGTTGGTATGGTCTTTGCTTTGAACTTTTATGTATAAAACCGTGATTTTGGAAATAGTAGAACAGAACAGTCTTGGAGAGGCTGCTCTCACTGTTCTCCAGAATCCCAACCTTCTGACCAAGTTTGGTGACCTATCCCCGCCTCTACATGTTGGCTGACAGTGATGGGCAGCCGGACACCCATCGTCTAGTACCCTTTTTAGCATACATACACTAATACATTAAGGTACACAGCATATACATTATGCAGTTCTAACTGATAAAATCTATCTTGAATTTTAATTTTGATGTTTCATACTATGCATTTCCAATTAAAAGTCTTATACTGACAAAGTCCATGTACTTGTCATTTTTATCATCTTACTATAGTATTAAATGGGTTAATAATATGCAAATTGCTTTGGCATTCCCTTACGTGAGAGCATTTAAGTTGTTTTCTGTTTTGTCTGCTTTGATTTTGGTGTTATCTGATTTGTCTTGGGTGTTATTACTTTGAAAATGTTCCTAAAAATATAATCATACAGGTCAAAAATATAAATAATGTTATAACTGTTGTTATATCTATTAGCTAATTGCTTTCCAGAGGAAAAAATAACCAATTTTTAAAGCTACCAATAAGGTTCAAATATTGCCGTCCCCACCTCTGTGCCTCTCCAAGCTCATAATTATATCACACTAATCATTATTTTCGCTGATCTGACAAGTGTATATACTGCCGACAGTTTGAATGTGAATTTCAACTGCTGGTAAGACCAAACATGATTCCTTGTGACTCACTCTATATTTTTAAAGACCATGAGAGACAGTAAACAGTGAATTTTGCATGTATCAATGACTTTCACATTTTTAAACACTAATTTTTTCCTATTTACAAATGCAATATATGTATATTACAGAAAGTCTGGGATATGGAAAAAAGCACAAGAAATAATATAAAAATCAGGGCAGCACTGTGGCTCAGTGAGTAGGGCACCAGGCCCATATACCAAGGGTGGCGGGTTCAAACCCAGCCCTGGCTAAACTGCAACAAAAAAATAACTAGGCATTATGGTGGGCGCCTGTGGTCCCAGCTACTCGGGAGGCTGAGGCAAGAGAATCACCTAAACCCAGGAGCTGGAGGTTGCTGTGAGCTGTGACTCCACAGTACTCTACCGAGGGCGACAAAATGAGACTCTGTCTCTAAGAAAAAAAAAAAAGAAAAGAAAAGAAATAATACAAAAATCACCCATGATCCCCACATACCTTTTTTTTTTTCTTTGAGAAAGTGTCTCACTTTGTCACCCTTGGTAGCGTGCCATGGTATCATTATCTCAAAGTAACCTCAAACTCATGGGCTCAAGCGATCCTCCTGCCTCAGTCTCCTGAGTAGCTGGGACTACAGGTGCCCACCACAATGCCCAGCTATTTTTTTTTTTTTTAGAGATGGGGTCTCGCTCTGGCTCAGGCTGGTCTTGAACTCATGAGCTCAAGCAATCCACCTGCCTCAGCTTCTCAGAGTATTAGATTACATACAGGCATGAGCCCCTGCACACTTTTCCCTTTAAGCAGTGTGTATTACAAAAAGTAAATTTTCTTTCTTCACCTCCCAATCCAAGCCCATCCCCACTAAAAGTAATCACCATTAAGCACCTGGTATTGTCCTAGAATTTTCTATGACTCTATAAAAATGGAATCACATTAATCATTGTCTTCTGCAATAGACTCTTTTTCTTTAATACTCTATCAGAGATATCTTTTCTTTTGATAACCATATGGTTATCTGTGTATGTATACTATGTTATGACTGGGTCAAAGAGTGGCTAAGGGGTCCCACTTGATATCTGGGGTACATATATTACACTTACTTATTTTTTCCATTTATGGTCTCTTAGGTACCTACCATGAGTTCCCTTGCCCCTTTCATCTGCCATTGCAGCCACCCAACTCCTTTTCACCCCTGCTTCAACTCACCACTGCTTATCTCCAACTTCGGTGAATTGTTGAGGGTTGTCAGAGCAGTCCCCCAGCCTGGTTGACTGGCTGCATTTCACGACAGGGTTTCCAGCCTCAACTGGGCTATTTTCAAAGTTAACAGTGTTTTTTCATCCTCACAGGGCCTACCCACTCCTTTTCTACCCTTCTTCAATCTTTACTCTCCACCTCTTACCACACAACTTAAACTCTAAGAGTAAGGAGAACATTCTCTCACCTTTTCTTTACCCCTAAACCTGCCTTTCTTGGCCCACTTTTCCTTCCTTTCATCCTGATCCAGGAAAAGGGCATCTTGGTTCTTCTCCAAGGCTACCCCCTCCATCTTCAATTCTGTCTTCTATACTATATCCTCCCTCTCCTTCCCTAGAAACAAGCTTATGAAAGTTCCATATTAATAATAAAAACAACAATTCTTCTAGCAGCCATGGCACAACCTTCCTCTACTTATGAGGCTGCTTTCCAGGGCCCCTACCTGTTTACTAAATCTCATTAAATTTGTGAGCGTCAATCTCATTTCATTGTGTCTACTTCCCTTATGCTCCTAATAGCTAAATCCATTGATACCAACAATACCACACCACCTACATAAACTAAATCAAATCCCCCAATCTTGACCAAGACAAATGTGTACCTGCAGCCTCAGCCTACTATCTGAAATACAGAATTAAGTTACTTTTCCAGCCTTTACTGACAAATCAGTCCTAGGATCCAGCTGTCTCCAGGAATTCCTGCCCCTGGGGCTCCTGTATTGCCCCTTAGCTAGCTATGCCTTCCCCCTTCCATCTCTAAGACTAGATATGGATTTGATCCTTATGCCACGAATGGCTGAAGATTGCCTCTTTTACCCAAACCAGCAATCTTCAAAGGATACTCCATGCAGGAGGAAAAATAAGACAAAATTGGAGAATTTGCCCTTTCCAGAAGTTATGATTCAGAAACCATATTCTCTGGTTGGTAGGCAATGGATTAATTTTTTTTAAATAAAAGACAGTTTCATGTTCTCCTAAAAATTGTTAGCAAACTTTGGAACCAAAATTCCAAAAGTAATTTTTGATAGATTTTTTAAGCCTATTAATACCAGAGATTTAAAAAGCACATAAACTGATACCATATGTTATAAATAACATCTCTTCTCATCAAAAATAAGTATAGCAAGAATCACAGGCAAAGAACAGGGGTCATATAGCACCATTCCCTTGACTGCAAAGTTGTAATGAAATCAAGTCTCTAAGAAACTAAGTAATTTACTCAAGGTCATAGAGCAGGCTACTGATAAAACTAAAACAAGGACTCAAATCTCTGAATTCCCAACCCAAAAAGGACCTAGATGTCTGTGAGGTACAGTAAGTTTGGCAGAGTTTGAATGAACACAGTCCCTTAAAAAGTCACCTCGCACACACTATGAATCCACAGAATATTATAAAAAACTAAGAAATTAGAACTTAAAAATAATGCAGATCAATATTCATGTGCCTTTATTGTTCAGATAACAGCCTATGAAAATGTTAACTTAAAACACAAAGCTGTGAAATTAAAATTTATATGAGGAAGCCCAAACATTTTACTCATGAATATTACTTGTTATAAAAAGTTTATCATATTTTAATTAACAAAAACAGTATTAGCCATGAAAAACAAAGAGCAAATAATTACCAAAGAGGCAATATAGTACAGTTGCTAAATGCCAACAGTTTGAATCCCATGTCCTCCACTTACTAGCTATATAACCTTGAAGAAGTTACTCAATCTCTCTTTGCCTCCATTTCTTCATCTATAAAATAAGGATTGAGAGATTGTGGTAGATTGAGAGTAGTTCCGAAGACTAGATGATTTAGTATTTGTAAAGTATATAGAATAGTGACTGCTGCATCACTGGTACTCAATAACTGCTCTTTTCCACTCATATATTTTTCTTTTCTACTTAGATAACAACCAACTCTTGATAGTTGACATATCCCTTTAAGTTTAGCTAAACTCCATAAGGCACTGGAATAATATATAGGATTTCTTACAGGATTCAGGTTTTAAAATAAAAGTTAAATAATAGTAGAGACATGGTGGGAAAGAATAGATACATGTCCAAGACATGTGATAGATGGTCAGTGTCCTAGCCCGTTAGGGATGCTATAACAAAATAAACTGGGTGGCTTATAAATAATGGAAATATATTTCTCCCAGAGCTGGAAGCTGGGAAGTACAAGATCAAGCAACTGGCAGATTCAGTATCTGGTAAGGACCTGTTTCCCGGTCCATAGATGGTGCCTTCTCACTGTGTCCTCATGTAGTAAAAGGGGTGAATGAGTTCCCATGGGCGTGTTTTATAAGGCCCTAATCCTACTCATGAAGGCTCTACCTTCATGACCTAATCACCTCTCCAAAGACCCTACATCATAATACCATCACCTTGGACCTTAGGATTTCAACATAAATTTGGGAGAAACACAAACATCCAGACTTTACAGTCAGAAATCTGGAGAATCCATTACGGAGGAAAGGTCTTGCCTACCCTGGATTAGCAGATGTGGGGTAAGAGGAAGGCAGATGTGGGCTGAAAGGAAGTGCCAATAATTTCCAAAACCATCAAACTACAGATATTTATCACATCAAGTAGGCAATAACCTATCACCACCACAACTACTGTTGGCCAAAAGTCCCAGTCCACTTCCTTATCACTCCTTCTACTTCTTCACCATATCAACGCGGTCATAAAACACTCAAGGGAGCCTGAAACCTTCTGTAGTACATTGTTGGTTCCAATTAAACTTTAAATAGAAGAGATTTACCACATTTTCCTTCATCTTTCTCAGCTTTTCATCTATCTCTCTCAGCCGATTTTGCTGATCCCGGTGCTCTTTGGTGTTCCTAAGTACCTTTTCTCCTGGAGTGATTTCCACATTTTTTTCATTGTCAAGTTCAGATTCCTAATTTAAAAAAAGAAAAGAAATCATTAACAGGCTGAAAATGAGCTTCACATACCACTCCAAAACAACTGAACCTTGAGAGTCAGCTTTGTTTCTCAAACAATATTTCTTCCCTTCAAAACAGTATTTTTAACTCTCTAAGAGTTTTCCCATGTGAGGAGGTAAAGGTCCAACTGTACATAAAACAAGCAGGAAAATGAAACCAACTTCCACAATCATCTGGGAAGCAGGGAGATACAGTGAAAAGCAGCCTGGCCAGGAAGTCAGGACCTGGGTTCCGATCTCTGCTCTGATGCTTATCAGCTTGAGACCTTGGACTTTTCTCTGGACTTCAACTCCATCATATATAAATCATTAGGAAAAAACCTGCCCATCTGTTAGTAGAGGTGGCTATGTAATGCTGGGAAGAAAACTGGACTTGATAAAGGGAGTTTTGAATCTTGGCTCTAACTGGTTCCCAACTAAAATAACCTTAGGGAAATCAATTAACTGCTTTGAGTTTCAGTTTCATCATCTGTAAAATGATAATAATAATAGATCTAGGCTAAATGTCATCACAGCACATAGTAGGTATGCAACAAATCTTCATACCTAACAAATGTGAGCTGAATATGTTCCATGGAAAGAATCAGTATTATCGAATGAAAATGCTCCACTGTTCTCTGTAAGATCTGTATTGACAGAACCACATTCTCCCAAAGTTCATGTTTGTTCCAGGTGATAAAAACAGGCATATCCTGACACCAAATCAATCTCTAGCTAATACTAAACTTCCTCTCTGTCTCCCACAGATCTGCCCTGGGTTGCCATGCAGGTAACCAGCAAGAATGATATTTTTTAATTTGCTCAAGCCAGAATTCTCTTACAGGATCCCCATTCCTTACATACAATTGGTCACCATTTTGGTAACTAGTATTTCTTTAATCAGGGTACTTCTTTCTTTCTCCCTCTCTTAGTTCAGACATCCTTATCATCCACCAACAGTTTTCAAACTCCAGTGCGCTTCAGAATCACCCACAGAACCTGTGTAAAAGTGTAAAGGTGCACCTCCACCCAGGAGCTTCTGACTCAAAAGTAAAAGCTAAGGACTGGCGATCTGAAGCACAATTTAATCATTAGTTACTGCTGGAGCCTCGCAACTGATCTCAGTGCTACCAGTTGCCCTGTTCCCTCCACTCTTTGCAGAGAAGCCACAGAACAAGATTCAAAGTCTTCACCCTGGGCCCTGCTTCACCAAAGCCTGGGCCCTGCTTATTTCTTAAGACTAAGGTGACCAGACGTCCTGCTTTTGCTGGGACAGTCCCGATTTTTAACAATTTGTCCCACATCCCGCTGTGTTTTTAAAAAGTCCTGATTTTTGGAAATGAAAAGGCTAATGTAAACTCCCTAGTCCCCTCCCGGGCAAGGTCGCCCAGGTAGACCGGTGCCCTACTCCTTTGAGCCACAGGCTCTGCCCTATACATACTTTTTTTTTTAATGTATTATATTTGTAAATTGTACTTATGTTGAAATTTAAAATATATATATTACAATACTATTTTTGCATTCTATGAAAATTTTTGTTGCTCCGTATAGACCACATTTTTAACTAAGAATCCCCCCACCACCCCACCACCCCTGTCAATGGTGTCCCGCTTTACCAATGTTAAAATCTGGTCACCTTACTTAAGACTCATCTCTCATAGCTTAAGCCTCAGACTTAAAACCTCAGCAAAATTCACTGCTTACAGCTCACTCTCCAATAGCCCATGCCTCTACAACTCCTCATGGAGACTGCAGCCATTTTGAGCCCAGCTCATGCATATCTCCAGGGAATATAAAATATTCCCTGAAATATTCAGGAAGGACACACTATTCTCTCAGCCATGCCACATGTTCGTGGTCCTTTACTGCACTTACCACACTGTCTCTGCCTACATAGTGACATGACTGGTCCCACTCTGTATCTCAATGCAAACTATAATCCTGAAGCAAGATAAGCACTGTCCAATAGTCTGAATTTTGGTTGTCAGAACTTTGATATCTACTAATGTTTGATTAAACTAGTAATGAATTTCAATGAAGTTCACACTGTATGTAATTCTAGTGAGTCAACTATTAAAGACTGCATTAATTTCAAGAAGTGATTCTTTGACATTTTGCTTTACTCCTTACTTCTGTTAATTTCAATCTCTAGAAGCATCCAGGAGTTAAATTACTATCAAATATTTTTAAGAAAAAAGACTAATATTAGAGAGGAGTTTGGAGAAAATGGTATCAAGGTCTCTTTGCAATGTTAAGCATCCAGTATTTTAAGAATTTTTATGAAGATTTATCTGTTATGAAGCAGAATACACAGTGATCTGAAAAATGTCCACACTGGATTTCATGTGTGAATGAAAATCACTTTTTAAAAAGAAAAGAGGAGGGTTGGCACCCGTGGCACAGTTCTTACAGTGTCAGCCACATACACCAAGTCTGGTGGCTTTGAACCCAGCCCAGGCCTGCTAAACAACAATGACAACTACAACCAAAAAATATCCAGGCATTGTGGCAGGCACCTGTAGTCCCAGCTACTTGGGAGGCTGAGGCAAGAAAATAGCTTGCCCATGAGTTTGAGGTTGCTATGAGCTGTGACGCCACAGCACTCTACCAAGGATGACATAGTGAGACTCTGTCTCAAAAAAAAAAAAGAAAAGATAAGAGGATATGATTTTAATAATCTACAACTATAACTTTTTAAAATCTTGGGGCAGACAAAGAGAAGACAAAGAAAGAAAAAAATTATAAATTGAACTTAACATTTTACTTTTGCTTATCCAAAGCTACCATTAAGAAAATTGATAAGCCACAAACTGACAGAAAATGTTACCTACACACAAATCTGACAAAGGACTTGCATATAGAACATATAAGGAATTCCTACAACTCATAATAAAAATAATAAAAGAGATAAAAATAATTAATAAAAAAGAATCAAATTATGTAAAGACTTACACAGATGCTTCATAGAAGCAGCAATGTGAATGACAAATAAGCACATGAAAAAGTCCTGAAGATCCTTAGTCATCAGGGAAATGCAAATTCAAACACAATGAGGGCCTCTTTGCCTTATGTTGAGACAATGGAGACCATTCCCTGTCTATGGCAAGTACTCCTGCTTTGTAAACTTTCTTACTCTGTAAACCCATCTTTCTCCTTTTCAATAAAACTTCCTTGTCTTGCTAAAAACAAACAGAAAAAAGCAGACCACACACACAATGAGCTATTACTACACAACCAACAGAATGGCTCAGATTAAAAAAAGTTTTTTAACACCAATCATTGGTAGGGTGACCAGATTTTAACATTTGTAAAGCGGGACAACATGGCTGGGGGGGTGGGGCGGGGGCAGGGCAGGGCAGGGCCTGACAACAATGCAAACTTTGATAAGCAGTTCTCAATAATCACTTCTCAACAATTATTTGTTATTATTATAGTTTAACATATAAAATTAACAAAAATAATATAAAACTCATATTCTGGTGAAATAGCCACATGACAGTCGAAAACCGTATATTCCCTTCCTGTTCTCCCGCCCATTTGTGCATTCTTTCCAAAAATCGGGACTTCTTTAAAACGCCACGGGACATGGGACAAATTGTTAAAAAGCAAGACTGTCCTGCCAAAAGCAGGACATCTGATCACCCTAATCATTGGACATGTGTGAAATAAGAGGAACTCCCATATGTTGTTGATAGGAATACATAATGGTATAACCACTTTGAAAAACCACTTGACAATTTCTTAAAAAGTTAAACATTTATCTATCCTATGACCCAGAAGTCCCACTCCTGTGAATTTATCAAAGAGGAATTAAAATGTATGACTCAAGCCCTGGACATAATCGTTCTTAGTACCCTAAATTGAAAATAGTCCAGGAGGCCATCAACAGGAAAATGCTATACTATGGTGAGCACCCAGCACAAGCTGAGACAGAGTTTTTCCCTTTCATATCTGTCTTCTGGTTACATCCAGGGGTCAGGAACTTGTGGCCTTCCAGATCCTTGAATGCAGCCTTTTGACTGAATCCAAATTTTACAGAACAAATATCAGGAGACTGGAGGACAGAAGGACAGAGGGTTCTGGATATTTTTCCCATCGCGTCCCTGCATTGGCACCACAGTTTTGGCAGCAAAGTAAGCCTGAAATATACAGGGTTTTCTCAGATTCAACTAAATATTCACACTCATATCTCTCAGAGGCCACACTTTGATCTGTTCTACTCAATAGGTATATGACAGGGAACATGGCACCCCTTTCAATGGCAGTGTTTGCTGCAGTCCTTGTCATAACAATAAAAGTCCAAAGGAACCCACACTATCTTTAAATCCTCATATATCACAGAAGGCATCATCTCTTGAAACCACCCCATAAGCACAGAATCCAGGGACCTGGTAAGGGACCAGCCTCACCCCAAGAATCACTGCATTTGGAAATGCCTGACATATGGTTGCCCCATCAAGCCAAGAGGTTTTTAGCCGAAGCAAAGTTGCCTCCTAACATAGTTGACATTCCAACTTCTATTAGACTGCCAGGGAAACAGAGCTCAAAAATTAACTACAGCTCAAATTCTCATGCTGACAGAGGGTCAGGGTGGTTCCCTTTTGTCCACACTCTCTGTCATTACAGCTTCAGATGGACAGTTCTTCCACCACAACTCCATATCTCACTGGGAGCCTGTAACACTTTTCTTCCTACTATTCAATGTTGCTAATCTCTAGGCATTCCTGCACCTTGGTTAGATCCTTCAAATCTATAAAATAGTCCCTTCATTCAATTATCTTTGAATCCAAGCTGGGTGTTCCTTCTCTTTCTTCTCCAGAACTCTAACTGGTATACCATTTATGTGCGTGAGAGAGAGTGTGTGTGTGTGTGTGTGTGTGTGTGTGTGTGTAGAGATACTGGAAGGAAATCTAACAAATCTTGGTAAAAATCTTGATTATTTTATCTTTTTTTCTTACCCTTTTTTGTAGTTCCTG